GGATCCAAGTAAAACGAAATCCTTGAAATCTTCAGTCTTTTCTCCGTTTATCATGATGTTCCTTGCTGCTTCAGTTGTGAGGATTTTTGTTTTATGTTAAGGTGTAATCTGTACTGAAGGCTGTGGTCTTTGATATTCATCTGTAAGAGCTTCAAGTCTTCTTCACTATCAGCAAACAAGGTTGTGTCATCTGCACAACACAGGTTGTTAATGAGTCTTCCTCAAATCCTGATGCCATGTTCTTCATACAGTCCAGCTTCTCGGCTTATTTGCTCAGCATACAGATTGAATAAGTATGGTGAAAGGATGCAACCCTGATGCACACCTTTCTTGACTTTAAACCACGCAGCATCCCCTTGTTCTGTTCGTACAACTGCTTCTCGATCTATGTACAGGTTCCTCGTGAACACAATTAGGTGTTTGGAATTACCATCCTTTGCAATGTGACCTGTAATTTGTTATGATCCACACAGTCAAATGCCTTTGCAAGTCAATAAAACACAGGTAAACATCTTTCTGTTATTCTCTGCTTTCAGCCAAGATCCATCTATGTCAGCAATGATATCCCTTGCTCCTTGTCCTCTTCTGAATCCGGCTTGAATTTCTGGCAGTTCCCTATCGATGTACTGCTACAGTCACCTTTTTTTTATGATCTAGGATCTGTTAAGTCTCTACCTTATTTTTCTCCCCACTGTTTGTTTCATAATTTGTATCTCTCAGCTTTTAAAAACTCCTTTGCTGACCCCTGAAACTACTGCCCTGATAATCTTTAAACCTTAAACCAAAAATACCCCCTGAAGTCTTCTTAAAACCAAATAACAGTTTAGCTTAACTATTTAAAAATGTCTGCCTTGAGCATTATGCTCTTTTAAGATAGGAAACTTCGGGAGCAGTCAATTTATGTTAATGGAGGAGGAAAAACTCAGAAAAGAGGGTGAGAATGGTTGCACAGCTTGAAGAATGTAATCATTGTCACTAAATTCTATAAGTAGGAACTGCTGAATTGGTGTATATTTTGCTGTATGTATTCTCAACAACAAAAGAAATTAAAAAACAAAAAAAAAACTACTTTGCTGGTTCTTCTTCCACTGCTGCCACTGTTTAAAAGCAAGGAATTCCTTAGAATTCAATTTCAGACCTCCTTCTGAAATACAGCCTCCCCATAGCAATCTTATTCAATTCTCAGTTTCGTCAATCCTTATAAACTGGTAAATTCCAAATACATGTTGCTTTATTTTTCCTGGAAACATGCCATAAAGGGACATCAAGTAAATAAGACCCAATGTGTCTGTCCTGCAGTAACTCATCATCTTCCTTAACCAGGTTTATCTTTTTGCTTTATTCCTTCTGATGGTCCATGGCAATATTATCTACTTGATTCTTAAATTAGAAAAGTAATTTTTACTTCTCTCTGATCTTTCCCCCTACCACTTCTACTCACTTTTATCTCCTAACTCTCAAATTCTTTCTCTCCTAACCCTCAAATTCTTTCTCTCCTAACCATTACTATTGTTACAGCTTCTAGTTCATAATTCATCAACTTCTTTAGACCTACTGTGATAGCAAATTAGGTATACCTATCAAACTTGCCCCACTCCAAACACTTCATACTTCTTCCAAGTTATCTAACAGAGCTGAATACATCACTCTTCTATTTAAAAATCTTCAATGACTCTGCACTGACTACAAAATAAAGCCCAAACTCCTTAACACAGGATTCAAAACCCTGCAACTTAACTCCTCAGCAAATGTACTGGGTTATTAAACTACCTGTATTCTCCAAACCCTCCATGTATTTTCTCAACTCCTAGTATCTTTCCTTTTGTTTTTAAAAAATAATTTTATTGTGCTTTAGGTGAAAGTTTACAGTGCAAGTTGGTCTCTCACTTAAGAATTGTTTTATGACACCGGTTGCAATCCCTGCAGTGTGACAGCACTCTCCCCCCTTTCTACTTTGGGTTCTCTGCGTCCGTCTGTCCAGTTTTCCTGTTCCTTCATGCCTTCTCGTCTTCCTTTCAGACAGGAGTTGCCCATTTGGTCTCATATATTTGACTGAACTAAGAAGCACATTCCTCACGTATGTTATTATTTGTTTTATAGGCCTAATCTTTGTCAGAAAAGTGGGCTTCGGGAAAGGCTTCACTACTGAGTTAGCAGGGTGTTACGGGACCACAGTCTCAGGAGTTCGTCCAGTCCCTGTCAGACAAGTTTTTTTTTTTTTTTTTTTGTGAATTTGAATTTTGTTCTACATTTTCCTCCTGCTCTGTCTGAGACCCTCTATTGTAAACCCTGTCAGAGCGGTAGGTGGTGGTAGCTGGGCACCATCTAGTTGTTCTGGGCTCAGGTTGGTGGAGGCTATGGTACTTGTGGTCCACTAGTCCCCTGGACTAATATTTCCCATGTGTCTTTGGTTTTCTTCATTCTCCTTTGCTCCAGACAGGATGGAACCTGTAGATGTATCTTAGATGGCTGCTCACAAGCTTTTGAGACCCCAGAAGCTACTCAAAGTTGGATGTACAACATTTTATGAACTATGTTATGCCAACTGACCTAGATGTCCCCCAAGATTATGGTCCCCAGTCCCTCAGGCTGTTTAGATGTGTCTAGGAAGCATCTATGATTTTGCATTGGACACACTGTGCTGACTTCCCCTATACTGTATGTTGTCTTTCCCTTCACCATAGTTGACATTTGTCTACTATCTAGTTAGTGATTTCCTCTCCCCACCTCTTCCCTCCCTCATAACCATCAAAGATTTTTTTGTCTACGTGTAAACCTTTTTTTTAGTTTTTATAATAGTGGTCTCATACAATACTTGACCATTTGTGATTGACTTCTTTCACTCAGCATAATGTCCTCCAGATTCTTTCCTTGTGTTCTTGAAATGACTTTTCAACTTGAAAAAATCCTACTCATCATAGTTATGTGACTTTAGACAAATTATTTAACTACTCTGAGCCTCTACTATCTTACTTGTAAAATGGAGAGATAATGATAGTACAAATCGCAGGATTTTTATAAGATTAAATGACTTAGCATATGTGAAGTGCTTAAAATAGTGCCTGGGACCTTTTAAACTCTCAATAAATGCTAACTATTAATGTTATCATCTGTGTCATCTGTTACACTTCCACCACCAACCTTCTCCTTATAATGCCCATTTCAAATGTTACTTCCTCAGTGAAGCTTTCTGATTTGTCAGACAGAATTACTGTGCTCCAATAATCTAGCACTTTGGTCATTCCTCTATCATACTTCTTCCCCTTGTGTCTGTGCTTACACTGTATTATGCATTTATGTGGCCGCGGTATAAAAGAACACAAGCCTTGAACCAGCTTCAATTCTCAGCTATGGCTCTTACGACCTTAGGTTATTGAACTCTTACTGAGTTTCAATTTCCTAATTTGTACAACAGGATAATAGAACTTTTAAGGGTGCTAGTAGGATAAAAGGAAACTACAGAAGAAGATTCAGTATAGTGAGTTCTTGACAAATGTTCACTTCTTTCCCTCTTTTTACCTATTCTTAAGGTCTTCAAGAGCAGAGTCTCTATGTCTTCTTTATCTCTGAACCCACAATTTACGGCACAACTCTGGTGTAAGTGGAACAATCTGTGACTGTTTGCTAACCTTGACAAATATGCCTGTAACCCCAGTCCTTTGTTCCTTTAATACCCCTGGCTTTCACATAAACACAACCAACAGATGGTGGAAGCTTTTATTTGCCTATAATTCCATGATGTCCTAGGGAAAAGTCTGGATAGAATATCAGATATTTTGCTTATTTCTCTTTTAATCTTGTCTGTCAGAAAGTTCAGAGATAAACTTAACACTCAATGGCAACAACTAAATTTTTTCTATAATTTTACTTCCTTCTTTTTCCTTACAAGAAGTTTATTATCTTATACATCTTTTGTTAAGTCACTTTATATCTGTTTTGAAAATAAAACAATATATAAATATGTTTTGCTTAACTTTTATGACATTTCAGACTAATATATCACAAATAAAAGGTGGCTTTAGTTACCTTTGAAAGATTCTCTCCTAAGACATTAAAGTCCTAACATGAGCTAAAGAAATGAGGTTCAATTTCTACATATGGACCATACTACCTCATGAGAAATGCTAGCGATAACGTTTTATTTACTTCATCCCAATGTAAAACACACACACGCACGCGTACAGACACACACAAAGACAGGATCATAAAAACACAAACATACAACAAATCAGAAAGAGATTTTAGTTGGAACAATAGAAGCTAGACAATGCTAGCCTAAGTTTATCTATTGTTTGAAAGATACATTTTGCCTTACTGCATTTAGAATTTTCAGATTGCCTAAATAGCATCAAATTAGACATTATGCCAGAATATAGACATTAAATGTTTAACCAAATCTCGTGTAATGGAAATATCATCTAAAATGCCTTTGCATTTAAAACTATACTCTATATTCAATACTATACTTCAAAAGGTTGTAGCCTGGGAGGCAATGTGGTTTAATGGAAAAAACACAAGATCTGTTGTCAGAACGCCTTGGTTTCAATACCAACTCTGACCCTTGCTAGCTCTGCAACCTTGGATAAGTCACTTAACCTCTCCCTGAGGCTCAGTTTCTTCTTATTCTGTAAAATGGGGACAATAATACCTAGGCTACGTACTGAAAGATCAAATGAGATGAAAAGTAACAACAATGAAGGTGCTTTATAAAGTTTTAACCACTTTACAAATATTAATACTTAAAAACACTGCAACAGTACAGATAAACAAATTAACTCTACATGTGATAATTTCTCTACAGTTAGCATTTTTGCTGTCTGGCTGGTTTAGCTATAAATCTAATCCACCCTTAATCCTATTTTCAAAAACTACTTACACATTGCAGAAGCTTGGCAGGTTGAGAAAATACGTGCTGACACTTACTGAAAGCCTAAAGAGTAAATAACCCTTCCATTCCCCATTGGAGCAAAATCCCAAATCTAAGCTTGTGCTTTACTTACATTTATGTCCGTATGGTATATGAGCACACATAATGCCGGCAAAATCTAAGGAAAGAAGATAAATAATAAGTAACACTAGAGTGGATGAGTATGTCTTAGTAAAAACAAACTGCTACATAGAAAGCAGTAACTACTGCTGGCAGGGCAAGAAAGACAACATGTTTGAATCTCTTCAGTTAAGAAAATGAAAATCTGACAAGATCATTCTAAAACACCAGAAGTATATTTAAGATACCCAGTTAAAATATCCAAATAAATCTGTCAGAGATTAATGTACCTTAAAGGAAGAACATTTGTTTTCAATAAACTTCTTTACACATACAATGCCAAGTGGAAAGCATGGAGATGCAAGTATTAACAGTATGGCTACTTAAGAAACGCTGCTATTAAAACTGCCATCATCATCTCACTTAGCTGAGGAAAGTAAAAACATGATTTTATTTAATAAGTTATTTGATTCATATTAAAGTTTTTGACCTTAGATTTTGTCAAGAAAATTATAACCAATATGTCTATGTATAAAGCTTTGTTTCTTGCATTCCGGCCTTACAGATCTTTTATTTAAAACCTAGGAAAGGAAGTAGAGGGGATGGGTGGATAGGAATCACATTCAGTACCCTTTGCATAAAACAAAACGTAGCAGAAGCTGGCTAAAGATGTCAATTATAAAGACATCATTTCTCTATAGTCAAGTGAATAAAAGTTACAAAGAATTTTTATAAACTTAAAATACTCAAATCCATTTACAAATCAGATATAAGAAAGTTTTTTTACTTTCCTTTAATTAGATTTAACACAAAGTATGTCACACTTTTAAGAACATTAATTTTGTCAGACATCAAGGGAATTTCAACTGGACTTAATGCAAACTCACTCAAGAACATCTGCATATAACAATGCTAGTTTCATCTGTAGAAGCATTTTATTTAGTAATTGTTAAATCAACAATGCAATGTAGTAACAAAACTTTGAGATTTTTTTTTTTTACTTTCTCCTTTTGTATTTTCCTCTTTGAATTTTTTATGTTTTCTTTTTATAAACATAGTGGTTAAAAAAGAAGAACTGGGATGGACTGATAATCTTTCAGATGCTATAAGATACTCAATTTTTATTTCACAGGAGTCAAAAATAAATATAACTTACTTAAGAAATCTTATACCTGAATGAAATCCGTGCATGTATTATTCATTCCCTGTGCATGAAAAGCTAAAGCACAAACATAGGGAAAAATATACCATCGGGCCTTTACAATTCTTCATTTACCTCCTGAACTGTTTCCATAGGCGGTGGGGGGTCCTTATTCCTGCAGAGATTGACAATGACCCATGTGACGTTCCGAAGGAAGGTGATGGGAATGGAGGGATTGATGAAGGACAGAAGAGGTTTGACAACTCCCAGTGATATGACATAATCTCTACATTGAGGACCATCACCTACAGAAATGAAAATTGTATTTAAAAAAAAATTACATTCAAGATGAGAAGTCTGAAATGTATGCAATGGCTCATGTTGGGACACTGATGTTCTATGTTTCCTCACCATTAGCCAAGGGCATCAAGCATTGTTGTTTCTCCAGATTTTGATTTGGGGGCACAAAATTTAACCTACCAGTCCTGATAGCAAATCACATTATCCTTTACAAAGAGGTACCACCTTAAGTTAGTATTTATAAGGCAAGGAGAGAGTCAACCCACAATAAATTTAGAGGAAACATAGTGTATAATGGCTATGCCAACGTAGAAGAAAGTTAATTAAGATTCTTAATTGAAGTCTTTTCAAACCTGAATGTAACTTACCTATAATGTTTCCCAAAGCCCATACTGCTTGTTCACAAACATTCTGATGTGGTGAATGGAGAAGTCTCAGAAAAAGAGGTACTGCATCTATAATAAAGAAAAATA